ACTTGGTACAAATGACAGGTGGTTTTTCTCTGCTAGGAGTTTGTAACATAATACTTACGGCATGCTAATTTATAACCTCCCACCTTTCGACAATGAAAGAACATATGGAAAAGAATATAAAGCCAAATAGAGTAATTGCCCTAACATGAACTGAAAAACTGGAGTGTAAACAACCTACTGAACATGGAGAATAAGTATACCCATTTACGTGCAAAGAAAATTTACTTTTTGTAAATGCCTCCATGCTAGTCATGCAATAAAACACATTTGAGCCTACCTCCAGCAATGATCACCAGTATCAGAGAATTCTTAAACATTTATAAGGAAGCTTAAAAAGCATCCAAAGATTTCTGGAGACCAAAATAAGTAAAACATGCCACTATATCACACCACAGCTTCTTCAAGATTGATTTTGAATGCATTAACGCTCTGTTCTCTACACAGTAATACTCTTCCTGAAGAACCCAAAGCACTAGACATCCAATAAGGTCTCTCTGTGTAGCTATTTGCACCTTGGCAAACCAAGACAAAGTACCTAATAATTTGTAGTTTACAATGACAGGCAGTAGTGTATGAAGATTGAAGAGAATTACGGGGAGTTAACTTCTACTCAAGAGAAGGAAGGAAAGAATACTGTATGTGATTTGACCTACTATAATATGTGTGAAACTCTTTGGTCTTTTTTTTTTTTTTTTTTTTAAATGATGATTAATCCATTTTGGAATGTGCTCATTAGGCACCTTATCTTAAAACCTTTCCTCTTGGTGACAATATTTTTCTTAATGATTTAAAATGCAAGGGAACAATGTCAAGACCTCAGTGAATGTTGCTGCCATTAATAGACAATGAACTAGGAAGAAAGGCAGTTGTCATGAACCTCCTCATTCTCCCCATTTGGTCAAGAGTTTTCCATTACTGCTGTGTTTGTTAGTACCCCATGGCAAACAGGGAGGATGACTGATGAAATGATGCATGTCCTGGCTTACTCTACAGCTGACTGCTCTGCTTCACTTGCATTACCTACTTGTGCTGCCTGCTGTACTGTAGTTATATAGATTATATGACAAGTCAAATTTGGGTTGAATGGAGTGCTGCCATCTCTTGGTTATTTTAGGCAGATACACTCACAGATTGTTTTATTTTCCTGCCACTCAAGAATGGTATGAAGTAACATAGAAAAACAGCTATTCTGGATTAAAATATTTAGGCACTTAGGAAACATAATTGTGGTCTTTATATATTTAAGCATGGAGAACAAAGTACATTTGCTGGTGTATTGCATCTCTGCATAACTTCTATTAAGGGTTTTTAACAAAACTATAAACCATGAACAGTTGGAATAGTTTGTATATTTTGTGAACAACATGAAGAAGGGAAAGTGATATTTTTTTTATAAATAACTGTAGACAATAATGACACTAAAATGTATGCATTGAAGAGTACTGTATTAGTAAGACATGCCTATCATACTATTCATTTTCAATCATGAGAGGTCGAATTATTCATACTCAAGATTTGTCAAATAATTTATTTGAAAATTCTTTTGCAATTACAAATGTAATTTTCTTTCCTTCTTATTTCTGTGACTGGAGCCAAAAGACTTACTGTAAGTACTGTCATGATAGAATCCAAGGCCACCTTCTTCCTAGACCTTTCCATGGTCAGAGACCAGAAGTTCATAACCTTCCTTTCTCCAATAATAGCAGAAACCAGATGTTTGTTGGCTTGATTTTCCTTTTTTAATTGAAATATGGGAGAAAAGAAAGTCTAGTTGAATTCAGAATAAACTTGAGAAACTTTCACTACCACAACTTCTCCAACCCAAACCCCTGCCACATTGCAAAGAAGACAACGCATGACAAAGATTTTGAAATAATTAATAATTCAGCAAATTAATATGTAAATAGGGACATGTCCACTATGAATAAACACTAATATTAGAAGAACAAGGCATTAAGTTTATGATTATTGTTATTATACTCTAGATCAGGGTGACAGCTCCACATGGTCATCCTAGAGCTCCCTCAGGGAAGAGCTATCAGAGGTTGCCTGCCTCCCACCTTCTGGCACTGAAGCTGGGGAACTCCTCAGAAGAGCAGAAGGCCCATAGTCTGTTTTTTGGTGAATGCTAGGGATATAATTTAAAAGCCGTTGGTTTTCTTAGTGTTCCTCAGCACACCACCATTAGATCTGTAACGTCATCTCTCCTGACATGAGGGTACAAATTCAGTGACAAATGCTGGGCAAATTATTGCCTTAGTGTTGCCACGTGTAGGATGGAAAAACACTGACTCTTGTGCAAGCACAGGGTATTCTGTGTCTGAGACCTGGAAAAGTCTCCTGGTTAGGATGTAAAAGTTCTTGAAGGAGCCAATGTCATTGTCTGCTGTTGCTCCTGCTCATCCCGCTGCTGCTGCCTGTCCTGGCTCCCTAGCAGTCCTGTGCAAAGAGCATGAGTTCCCAGCAATGTCAGGGACTTGAACTACTTTGGTTCCTTTGTTTGTTATGTCTTCTGACACTTCTAATATTAGGGTACCTCCAATATTCAGCAGCAACCCAGAGGAGTGGTTTAACATACTTCTGAAAACAACCAGTCCTAGTTGTTGTCAAAGAATGCTCTTCAAGGAATTTGAGTGAAATGAGGGGAATCACACTTTGTTTTATTTAAACTAGGAAATCATCATCTGAGAAACAAAATAAAGTGTTTAATGCTAACTAATTGTATGAGACATATTACAGTCTTCATCATTATTGCTTCCACCTCTGTCCTGCAAAGACAGGGAGAGAGGAAGATGTCTCTTGTTCCTTATCCTTCCTGTTCCCCTGGGAGCACTTGGGCGCCAGTTTCTGATTCTCTGAGGAGCTTAAAAGGTACTAAGTTTCTCATTTAACAGTGGGAGCAGGAGCATAAATCTGCCTGCTCAGAAGCTGCTCAGCAGAGAGGTCAGTTATGGCATTGCTATTGTTCCCTGAGGCATCTTCTCCCCCTTATCAGCTGGTGTCATCTCCATAGCTGGTGCATGGAGCTTGTGTGCTTCATGTCAACTTTCCAAACTCTTCTACCTAAAACTTCACCTCCGAGCCAACCTAAGAAATATGGCAACTTAAGGTCATCTCCCAAAAGCAAGTATGATTCACCTTGGCTGCTCCATAGTCTACTCATTTTAACACCCTTCTTTGTCCTTAGGCTGGCATTTGTGGATTTTGCAGGGTTGTTCTTTTGTTTACTTTTTCTTTTTGCATTTGCAAGTGATCACTTCTGCCTCTAGCCAAGATTTCTAGCTGTGTCAGCCAACGACTGAGTGGCTGGATAACTTTCTCTTGCTAAAGGAAAATCATCTAGAAGGGTTATGATTGTACTATGTTTACAATGTTTGGACACACTGGTACAGTCTCTGGAAAAGTAAGCTTTTCTTATATAGGTTTCATTGTAGTAATAATAGAAAGAATAACAACTAATTACTGGTCTGAGTTCTAGGGTCACTCCTAGTCCCAGGCAAAGCACTTGCCTTTCAAACAGCTATTTCCTGACAATTTTTTTATATATATTGAGAAGTGAATTACAAGGAGTGGCCTCAGTGTCTCATACAGTAACAGGCGTTGTGGAAGAGGTTCCTGTAACATGTTGCACATATTTTGAGGCAGCTGCAGAAATCCTAAAGAGGGTGTTATATGGTGCTACTTTTGCCAATTTCTCTTAAAATACAGCTTCACTTTTGCAGGTTTTTTTTCCACTGTAGGAAATGCTATGTCTATATATACATAAACATTTTGACTGTACATAAGCAAGGAAGGAATGTGTATAATGCTAAAATACTTTGAAAATTATGAGATGACAGATCACAAGTAGGCTTAAAGAATCCATTACTGACTGACTAAAAAAAGCAGTTCAAGGCACTCCCTCTGAACAACCCTTTATCTCCTCTGACAGTGGTGCTGACTGTGAACACTGCAGAAGTCTCTGGGTGGCAATTTCCTGGACAGCCCTGGAGGACTTGCTGCATTTGAATCAAAACTTGAGTGTGGGAGGTAGGGTGGAGGAGGGAACAGAGGTACGTAGTATAGCTCCACTTATCTTCATAGCTATTCATCCGCCAAGGCAATGACAGCATATTAAAGTGGCAATGTGATTTCTCAGTTCTAATCTGGTTTATCATCATTTTTTCTGAGTGGTGCCTTGGAGAGTCAGGGAGGGGAAATACACATTAATACTCTGTGCTGGTTCATGACTAACCATGTTCAAAATGTGCAGTGTTTCACAGAAGTGAGGGTTTTATGCCTTACTATCTTTTCTGTAACTGTACAGCATTATCTACAGCTGATATACAGAGAAGTTTAGGGGGTTTTAACATGATGAAGATGTACTTATTCTCAGGAAGAAGTGATCCAGCCACACAGTAATACAGTGTTCTCTGCCTTTCTGTGCAGGAAACATACCTTTATTTATGAAATTCATGCTTGTGTCTAAACCCATAGATAGTGTAGAAAAGGAAATCCATTTAATAGAGCAGGGTTGGAATAATGTCTTCCTGAGTGGATACGTTTGATCAGCACTGTATGGTCTATCTCAGGATAAGTGACAAAATATACTAAGGCAGGTGTGGGTTTTGGCTGAAAACTGGTGCTTATTTGTGATGTAAGTTGTTGATAAATGGTTTGCAATGAGAAACAGATCGATAGCTTTAGAAGCAGATATGATTTGTTTATCCTGTAGCCAACACCCTCATGCTCAGCTTGTCAACTGTCTTTTCCCTGTCACAGATAGTTGGAAATCAGGAAAACTGCTTTCATGGATTGACTGTTGTCAAGCTGAGAGACAGTGTGTTCCAGATTTGTGGCTGGCTCAATCAAGCTGGTATTAGTAGAGCTGTGCTCATCTTCTGACCCTCTCAGTTTTGTAAAAAAAAAAAAAAAAAAAAAGCTGAAACTAAAGCAATTCAAATTAGAAATAAAGCACAGTTTTTGAAAGGCCAATAAAATTAACTTTTGGAACCACTTACCTAAAGAGAGAGTGAATCATTTAGCCACTTGACATCTTCAAATTGAGATAGATGTCTAAAATCCATGCTATAGTTCTGCCACAGCTTACTGGATCTGATGTAAAGTACCATGATAAATTGTTTTATGACCTGTATTATGTGGGAGGAGAGAGTAAAGCATTGATATGGTCCCCTTTGGCTTTTTAGAACTATGAATGTGCATAGCTACAAAGGCAAGGAGGAATGGGTTCAGGCATTTGTGAACACTATCATCTTCCCATAAAGTGTAAAGGAGGTGGCATGACTCTACAAGATAGAGGATGAAAGTGGACTTCATCTTCTGAACACTGGTGTTAGATTCAAAGGTGAAGGAAAAGGATTCCTGTAGTGACCCTTCATTTTATGTTCTCTATAGTATAGATCAGAGCAATAGAGGATATATGAAGGTGTTAGTAGATGATCACAGGTTTGATTGAGTTTAGAAGACACCTATATCGGCTTTGAGCAGCTCAGTGTTTTGATTGGGATGTGTGCTTTTAGGATTTGTATGGTTCAGTTTAACTCAATTGGCAACAAACATTTAAAAAAATATCTCTCCAGTGTTAAGACCAGCAAGATGTGCTCATGGTCCTCAGTGACTTTCATTCATACTGAAGAGAATATAAACCAGAAGCCTCATGCAAGTGCAGATCAAGCACTCTTGTTGAAGGGTGAAGCAACGCAGAAGAATGAACAGTGGTGGTGGCCTCACTGGTGAGCAGATCCCTATTTATTTCTTCATGATGCACTCAAATACATTTAAGATCTCATTAATAGATTACTTTAAATTTAGGAACATTTCCAAAAATTTTAGTATATCTAATCTCTGTTTTCATACCTTTTCTAAAGCACACAAATATGTGCTCTTTCTCTGTAGTCTTCAGTACTTCAGCCAGCCCTGACTTCATTCCAACACAATCTGGGTTATAGTGCTAGATTGATAAAAAGCAAGAGGCTAATCATGAACAGTGAGTGAAACAACTGAGTGTTACAGTTTCCTGTATATCCAGACTGAAGATCACACCTGTCTTTCAAAGACTGCTGTAGGCACAAATGTTAACAAATGTTACTGACACAACACAGGAGGTGATTTCCCTTAACATTACCACTGAGTGCAGAAGAAATTTAGCAAAACTTTGCCCAGGCATGGTGAATTCTGGAAAAATGTCTGCAATACAACAATGTGCACAAAAACATTTTGCACTGTGGAATGTTTGTATGATCTCAGATTTGGAAGCAGACAATGAAGGCTTTCATAAGAAGGTATTGCACTGTTTTTACGCTGGGATACTGATGATAAAGTGGAAAGGAATATGTACACCATTCACAGAGGTACGGAAATGTATACTCATAGCATACTGTGGTGCTGCGCCACTAAATGTGATGGCTGATGGATCAAATGTCTGCAAGGCTAAGTGGGAAGCTGAAGCTTATTATCCACCCATCCACCTGTCTAGTTTCACGGAAGCTGGTATGCTTAGGCCCCTGACGATCTTTTCTCCAATTGTATCCCGTCCAGTGTCTGTATTCAGTCTGGAACACTGCCAAATACAAACAACTTCATCTTAAATACAGAGCATATGTGTAGGGTCTCACCTGCTCTGTGTGTCAGTGCTATTTTATTCTCACTGGCTACCCAGGCACTTTTACCACCTTTGGAGTGCCTCTAGATATGCTGCTCTTCAGTGTTTCTCTGAGTGATGAATATGCAATACTGGTGCCAAGACATTATGTCTAAGGAGTGTCCTGACCCCAGTGTGAGTCTGGGGAGGTGAGAAAGGCTGACAAATGCTGAATAACTACTAGTCAATAAAGCTCTGATGTCTCAAACAGCAGAGAACAGGTGCTTTGAGGGGAAATATGCAAGTAAAACAGACAGGAAGGTTTGGTAGTTTAAGAACTGAAAATAATTCAGGGCAATAGCAGAGTCTAGCAGACAGCTAAGGGAGCATGTGCAGGCATGAGATTAGCCTGCAGTGATGGATAGGAGGGAAAGTTCCCTTTGGCAGCATCTTTTCTCCTACAGCATCACTAGCACAAAGGAAAGGGGTGGAAGGTAGATGTCCATAACATTGCACCCTTAGATTTATCATTCTGATTTATAATCATTCCTTACATGATTCAAGAGAATACAAGGAAGAAAACACCTTCAGCCTATGTGGAGAAAGGATAGAAACATGTCTATTTAAAGCCAATATTAAGCTACTATATTGCTGTCTCAACAGAAGGCAATAGCACTTTAAGGTATAAGACAGCAACATAGGATTTTTAATCCACTTTGGGATGAGAAGTAGGATCAATAATGAGGATTGGTTCTATGGTGTAGGCTGGATAATTGTAGATTGGAAACTTGTTTAAAATTATTCACCCATTTTCATCATTTCTCCAAGAGGTGTAATTGAGAGGAATAATTACCTGGCAGTCTGAGTCAGCAGATGACCAAGATGATATGATAGCTTGTTGGTGGCCCATGAGAAATAGATGACAAATACAATTTTAAAAATCCTGTTTAAGTTGTGCAAGGAAAAACCTTTTAAATCTTTGACATGGAAAAGAAGTCTTCTTGCTCTTGAATGTTATTTAGATATTGGGAGCTCTATCTTTGCCAAATATAGCTACTGCATTCAATATACAGCTAATCACTACAGTTTTTACTTATCTGTGCTGTGGGTCTTGACGTTTTTAAAGTCCAATGTTGTTTTCTTTTTGCTAAACAGTGACTCCAAACATCCTTTATGTGGGAATGTTATTTAAGCAAAACAAATATTATGTACATGCTAACAATTCACTAAACGGTTTCCCCTTACCTTTAATGACCTGTTGTAAAACACTTGAATGATTCATTGAGGAGAAAATCAAGATAATGCAGGTCATTTTGTAAACCCAAAGATAAGAAGCAGCTTTTTCATCTCTGGAACAAACAGTATTTAAGCAGTGTGAGCTGTTAGTCCTGTGAGAGTTCAGAAGTGTTCCCACTACAAAAGGTCTGTTTCCATTGTTTTATAACTTCTGCCAAAATAATTACTCTGAACTGCTAAAAATTAGCAGAAGGAGGTCTTAACCCAGAAACAGTCACTTCAAATTCAGTTTGAATAACCTTGGTTAGGCTGACTTTAGGGCACAGGAGGTGAAACTGCTTGCAGACTTACAAACACCTTTGATTTGTTTAACTTCAAAATAGCTTTGAATATGCATTTTGCACATTTGGCAAACACATACATTCTGCGAGAAGAGGAAGGCAAGACATCAGTCTAATCACAGAAATGCTAGGCTTTAAACAATAACTTCTCATTTGCAATAATTATTATTTTCCAGGGTTTTTCTTTTCAGTCTGAAAAATTTGTTCTTTGTGTACCGCATAGGAAACAGAATGATTCATATTATTTATTTTTAATAAACACACAAGCCTTTAGGAAGTCAGTATATTACTGACAGTAGGTGCCTCTTCAGTTCATCTTGGCAATGACCTGTAAGTTAACAGCTGCATCCAGTGCTCATTAAAGTTACTGGAGGGATTTTTACATACTTCAGCAGACTTTTGTTCAGCCTTGATGTGACTTTGACATTTGGCACTGAAGACAAGGCACTGATGAAACAATCGAGATCAAACATGTAGACACTTCTGTGAAGGTACAGTTAAGAGGAAAGTGATGTAGTCTTTTTATGTTTGTGCCTATGGGAGTACTTGTCCTTATTTTAAAGGCAACTTGACATTAACACTTAAAAAGCAAAACATCATGGGGAAAATACAGATTCCTACAAGTCCAGGTCTCAGTCATAAGGGTAAAATTTTGTTATGGACAGTGGATTCCTCCTTGGGCCAGTGCAAGCCATTTGCATTTGACCAGTTTCTGAAGGTTCATATGAAAAATCAGCGATGGGCAAGCCTTTGACTTAACCCTATAACTGCTCATAATATCTGTGGAAGAGCTTGTCACTTACACAGTCTTTTGCTTCTTTTAATATATTTTATTTCTTGGATACAAGATCCTTTTAGACAACACCTACCATGTCAAACACTCTGCCTGTGCAGAACCGGGACAAATACAGAAACTTCCCCAATACTAAGCATTGTCCTCAAGAAAACTAGAAGCAACAGGTTGTCTCCAACAGACAAAGGAAGAAATTACTTTCCTACAGACAAAGGAATGCAGGATACTAGCATAGATGGCATTATAGGGATGATACCACTTACTGGCTATTTTGTTGCCAAAAAGATCCAAAGCATCTAATTAAGTTTTTTCCATCACAAGAGACAGCCACCGAAATATCCAGTAATTAATGCTGTGATCATACATGCTTCTCGCTTCTGGACAGGAAGGACAGTGACTCCTTACCAGCTTGGGAGCTGCTACAGCAAAGATGAGTGCAAATTTATAGCATCTTTGAGCTTCCCTAGAAGCTCTTCTATTATTTGAGACAATCATATCATTATTCTGAAAACAAAAAGGAAATGCTAGCCAACTGGAAGTACAAAATAAGACTCCCTACATTTTGAGAAAAGAATAGAGGCTTTCAGATAAATTGCTTTTCCTTGCTGGGCTCTCTTTTGCTGTAGTTAATTATGAGTGGCATATACGAGAAAAGGCAAGCCAGTAAGAAAAGTTTACAGGCAACACTAAGGAAGCGTCCTAATTCCTCTGGGCATTTTAGCATATGTTGTGCAGCACTAACCATTTGTTTTCTGAGTGATCTCACCAGGGCACCAACAATGTAGATGTCTTCAATGGATGCTTGTTCAGGCCTAATAATTACAGTTTAAAGAACAGTTAGCTATGCATTGTCTCAGTTAAAACTAAGACATACATTTTGTTCCCACAAGAGATTGGACTGTGGATTTTTCTCTACTGAGCAGTGTGTAATATAGAGTACTGACAAACAATAGGAACCTGGAATTGAGACATAAGTTTGAGAATATCTAATATGGCTGAACAACAAAAAAATATCTTTTGATGTCACAAAAGTCACAAGGCAGCAAAACCCAACATGTGTGCATAATGAATTACCAAAATATGTGAGCCTACTGCAAATAACATTTAATTCCTATTAAAATAATTTATTTATTATTCTCAGGGAAAT